GGTCCTTCTCTCGCAAGGCTTCAGCATGAAACTGACGACTGGGAGTTCTTTTATGTAAATATGTAAGGAGAAATGGTCCTCATCATGCTACAGCCTACACTCACCTTGCTTTGTAGTTTTGCAGATCGAGATATGTTTGCGCGATTTGCTGGGATTGGTGTTGGACACGAGGTCCAGTACACCTCCTCAGCAATCAAGCAACATTCCAAGAAATATTGGGATGACGCTTTCAGTTGCGGAGACGAATCATCCGACGAGGAAGACACCATCGAGGATGGAGATGCCGAGGGAGATGTCATTGAGGAAAATAACATGGAGGAAGGCAATGTTGAGGAAGGCAATGTTGAGGAAGATGATGTTGAAGAAGATGACGACGAAAGTGATGTCAGCGAGGATAGTAACAGTAGTACCGAGGATGTTGATGAGCCTGAAGAGTCAGACTCGGACGGGGAGGATGACAGCGATGACGACGACAACCTATACTATAGATTTTAATGCATGGGGAACGTTACATCACACAGGCCATTTGCAAATAGCTGTAAGTTGAAGGTACTAGCGGGCACCGGGAATGAACATACTTAATTTGGACTTTGTGTTACAACTTACAATGGTATTTCTTAGAATATAATACTTCGACGAGAAGGGTAGCTTTTCTCATTGGTGGAATTAGCGATCCACCCTTGTCAGACTATCCAATACTATCTCAACAGCAAGAACAATGATTCACGTTTGTAGTTTGAGTTTACTTGCAGATAGACTTTGTAGCGCTTGATAATAATAACAAAATTTGGAGCCTGTGTTACAAGGGTATTTCTGAGAGTATAATACTTCACCGAGAAGGAGAGATTTTCTCGTTAGTGTAATTAATGATCCACCCTTGTCAGACTATCCAATAAAATCTCAACAGCAGGCATGATGATTCAGCTTTGTAGCTTAAGTAAGGCCATATCACGATATGAGGTTTTCAGTGGTGGATCAGCTTAAAGTCTGATCGTCTGTACTCGCTTGCTATTCACTGTCATCGTCCCAATTCCAACACCGTTGATGGCCCTGCAGTACCAGATCCGTTTAGGTACAATGGAGTAGCCTTGATTAACGAGCTAAAGTTCTGCTAAAGGTGCTCAGTGCGTGACTCTGGAACGGCTAGCGTGGATGGTGATGCTGAATAGTACTCCTCATACGAGCTCCCATTTTCAGGGATGACATTAGGGGCGAACAAACTTCCAGCAGCCGCTACGACCATGACAGCACTACCAAGATCGCGTGCGTGAAGCTTGGTGTCGGGGATAGATATCTATTCGTAGGTTGTCAAGTGTTCCAGTATGGAATATATCTATTTTGCAACATTAAACAACTTAAATAAGTGCCATAACAGAACCTGGGATACATAAAAACAAATTCTCCCACTCTCTGCAGACCACCTGCCTATTGCAAAGCAATCATATCGAGAATGTCCTGCGCTACACGCTACTGCTAGTTTCCACATGAACGCATTCCTGGAAAACAATCGAAGTCATAGCCGTTGCTGTATCAGAGTCGGCCACAAGTTTTGCATAATATTCTCGAACACTGAGGATAAGGCGTGGTCCCAGCACAGACAGCTGTACCATGTACAAGATTTGAGCGAAACCATCATAAATTTGAACGTTCAAGGACGATTCGTGCTGTGGAATTCATGTATCATGAGCGCAGGGAGAGGTTGGTGACAGATCGGCGTACCGCTGAGAACATTTGAGACAATTGACCAATATAGAGGCAAGCAATAACAACAAAGCTAGCATGTGCAGAATGTGAGCGGAAAAGAGAATCGCATTCGAATTGTGAGCTTACCTCGCAAAGTAATTAACGTGAGTTTGAATTAACATCATGAAACAGTCCCCGATGATACCTCCTGGTGAATGTTGTCGCAGTTCACGAAAGTGCTTGACAGCAATCCAGACTGCGAGACACAGTGCAAGGACCTCCCATACAATGCCAAGTATCCATGTCATGGGAATCATAGATAGGGAATCTCCCGCAAGGTTAATGGTGCACAGATGATTACCGGAGAGAACGAGTTCCTCTGGTATGTGTGAATGAGCCTGATGCACTTGAATTTCTCATACATAATTAAAGCTTACCCCCTGAAACATGCATCAGCTGTATTGCGTCCATCACTGCGACGGCGATTCTCATGGTCAAGAAGATGACAACGAGAAATATTAGCACCTTTCTGGATCGCTGATACATGGCATGCAAGCGAGCAATCATGATGACTTGCATGGTATTTCAGTCAAGTCAATATCACGGTGGTGTAATTCTCACCGCCTAGCATTATATCTACAACGTCGGCCATGCATATCATTGCCTCGTACATGATAAGGCCTGACGAATCCAGCAATATCAGTTATCAACATCGGAGGATCACAGACTCGCAAGAAACTCACAACTGTACGAGTCGTTATATTGAACCTACTTATTCGAGAATCTCACTCACCCCTACATAGTAGTTCAGTTGATTGGACAGGAATGGAAGGCTCCAGCGTGGAATACTCAATGTATCTGTCATCGAAATTGTTGTTACATTCTCTGTATGCCGCCCGTCACAAGAAAGAAACAGAGTCCAGTCGGACAGACATACGTAAAATTTCGATCCTTAATGTAGAGATGGATAATGAGTGTAACACCAATAGCTTAGACATCGAAACGTACACAGAGAATCCTATTGCAACATATCGCGCCTAGGATATGCTCACGTCAGTACGACTTGTTGATCACGCTTGGAAATACAAGCTACATACAACGAGATACACAACAGTCATCAGGGACCAACGTTGTCTCTGCCGCGAATTAGTTATGATATTTTCACATCGTTCTTTTGATATGAGAGTCCGCTCACCCAGATTAGTTCCACCTATAAAATTGTTGTCAGCGAGATGGCTGCTTCTGTAACAGTGTCAACCTACCTCTTGTCCGAACGTAAGTCCTAGAAATTCCATGATGTCAGTGGTCTTTTTAAACTTAATATTGCTCACCCCAGTCGTATATTACCGCAGCACAGGAGGCAACTGTGAAACCGTGGCCAATGTTAATCGGGTCATCAGGGTCATGATGCGGCTGACTCTCCACGGACCTACGAAATAGCTGTAAAAAATATTCGCATGGATGGTCGGCCACCAACTGGGATCGTTTGAGACTACAGTCATGCTATTGGAGGATGGGGGTGAGAGAGCGGGGTAACTTAGTAGACGTTTATATATCACTGTCTAGCGCTTATATCACCAAAGTAACGTGTGAGGTATATCTGAGATCAACGTACTTCGGCATGAATTCAAGTAGCAAGGGAACGTGCATCCATATATCGATGAGATCAAGGTGGCAGTGATTGATGGTAGTGGCTAGCGCGAGATGTGTAACGCCACAAAAGATCCGAGAGCTGTTTGTAAGATAGTGCCATCTTTGAAGCCTTCTTTGGGTATAGTGAGGGTTCGGACTGCCTCGGCCAATCGATGACACCCAATCACAAATCTAACACATGATTGATTCGGCGGCGCCCAAAGTCGACCTCGAGGCAAAAAATCCACAATCTTTTGTCTAATTCATGTGCACGCTGATTAGTACAAATGCGACCAAAAGTACATACATGAGTCGTATCCAATTCCTTGTCATAGAATACGATCAACGTGTGGCGATGAGGGCAGTCGTACAAAGAAGGGAACAAAAGGGCGGTTGTACAAAAGAGGAGGGGGTTGTTGTACAAGGAAAGAGCGATCAACTGATTTAGACAGGAACGGAGGCAATAGGAAATGCGATGACGAAGAGGCGATGATGGTACAACTTGAATGCGAAGTTAATGAATGTGTGATGATCCAGTTTGGTGGTTCATAAGTAAGTAATGACGGAGTTGAATAAATGCACTGGTGATAGAAGATCAAGCTCGTCGACGAGCTTGAGAAGCGAATAGCCGGAGAGTGAGAATCGAATAGAAATCTTCCCTCCATCCGTAATTTAAACCCGTCCCAGGGAGACGCAGAGACCGATATTGATGAGATCAAGAAACGAAAAAAAACAGGGAGTGTGAACTGCGTGTTTCATAGCAGAGCGAGAGTGACAATGGTTACTTAAAGCAGAGAACGAAGGAGCGTGCATTATCATGCATAATGGCGAACGAGCGAGTGTGTAGGCGTCCTAATGAATGCAGAATGAAATATGGATCGTCAACAGATACAAGGCGAGAGACATGCGATACATACCTTTGGCGATTGGAAAACGAGAAAGACAGGTCAGGAGCGAAGGGATGGGCGGGAGGACATAAGCGGAGGAAATAGGAAGGATGTCAGGATGTGAGGTGAAGGCGAACAAGACAAGATGTAAACAAAGTACCAAAACCAGGTCGGTTTTCACAAAGGCGACAGCCAGAGAAGATTGAGAAACACGAGCGAGTAGCAACTTGCGAAGGCTGAACAAAAGAGACGCAAAGGAAGAAATACGTCAAGCGGAAAGGAAAGAACAACTTGGGGAAAGAACTCGCCAGATGAAGGAGAAAATAGTGAGAGAAGATGGCGAGGTCCGCGTCAATCAAACCAAGATTATATTCAACATTCAACGCACACTGCTGATCAAAGGTAGTCTCCAGACATATCAGTACGTTGTAGACGACTTTCGAACTCCGACAATATTACTTGCTCTACTTACTATCTAGAGAGTACTTGGAGGCGAAACTAGTGTTGTTGGCAGAATGCTGCCATTCTGCCGGTGGCAATTGCCAAGCGGCAATTGCTGGCAGTAGGTCAAGGGTGGTTGGCAGAAGTCGGCAGAAATACGATGACCTAGTATTTGTTCCTACTAAAAACAATAAAAATTTGACATGTGGCCTAGAAGCCCAAGGGCCATTCTGTCCAAAAACTTGTGTCCAACCACTTTGTTAGTAGTTACTGGGGAGAAAGTCAAAATTTGGTCAAAAACAAATCAAATCACTACTTTTTCACAGGCAACTGCTGCTCGGCACGACAGTACTTATCTATTGAGAGCCACGATAAACATCTAATTGACTGAAAAATATGATCATCGGGCATGCTCGTGCAGTGTGGTTACCTCACTACAAAAAAGGCAATCAAGGCCGAATTCTATCAATTCTATCCCCATCTTCCGCTTCTGCAACTTCCAAGTCGACTCAAAGGTCGTTTGCATGGATTCCTCCCCTTGCAGCAGACTCTGATCCACCAGAATTATCTCACAGGTTCAGAATCAATTACTGACCAACTGCGAGAAAATTATGGGGCAGAAGGTATCCACGGTGCCAACTGGCTTTGTTGAAGAGATCAATGTACTCAATCGAAGCTCAGAGAGTGCATCAGGGTATGATATTGATGCACTTTTGACTCATCAGGTATAGCCTTAGTGTAGTAGTCAAAACCATTTTTGCCATAGTACAAACATAGCTGAAAAGAGCTAAAAACGCTCACAATACATTTTGCCAACTTTTGCCATTCTGCCAATTGCCGTTCTGCCATTCTGCCATCTGCCAAGAGGCCAATTCCTTTCTGCCCACGACACTAGGCGAAACATTACTAGGAATGTGTGTCTCTTTCACATGCATTTCCAAGAATTTGAAGAAGTACCACGACAAAACTTGGAATCAATAAAAACTAAAAAACATTTTTTACAGACGACCTGCCAATTGTAAATCACATCGAGTATCTCCCGTACTACACGCTTCTACTAGTTTCCACATGGAGGCGTTCCTCGAAAGCCATTGAAGTCATAGCGCTTGCTGTGTCGGAGTCGGCCACGAGCTTAGCGTTATATTCTCGAACGCTAAGGATGAGGCGTGGTCCCAGTACAGACAGCTGCACCGTCTGGAATATTTGAATGAGACAAATATACAATTGGACGCCAAAGGAATATTCGTTCTATAGAAATGATGAATCATGGTCACACGTAGAGGCCGGTGATAGATCGGCATACCGGTAAGAAACTTGGAGAGAGAAAACTGATCTGGAGGGAAGAGACGACCAAAAAACTGCGCACGCAAAACTTCAGCAGAACAAGAAAATCCATTCACATTATGAGCTCACCTTGCAAAGTAACTAATATGAGTTTGCATTAACACCGTGAAACAGTCCCTCATAATATCTCCTGTTGAGCGTCCTCGTAGTTCACGGTAGTGCTTGACAGCAATCCAGACCGCGAGACACAGTGTAAGGACCTCCCATATGGTGCCAAGTATCCAAGGTATGCTACCCAGCAATAAGGTAACTGCCGGATAACCAATTCTGCACTTATAGATGCCGGAAAGAATGTATTCCTCTGGTACATGTCAGTGAGCCTCTTACACATTTGATATATAATCAAAGCCTACCCCCTGTAAGCTGCGTCGCCGTTATTGCATTTATCACCTCAATGGGGATTCTGATGGCCAGAAAGATGACAAGGAGAAATATCAGCACTTTTCTAGATCCCTGATACATGGCATGCAACCGAGCGATCGCGATGACTTGCATGATGTTTCAATCAAGTCAATATCATGGAGGTGTATCGCTCACCGCCGAGTATTATATATACGACGTCACCCGTCCAATTAATTACGTCGATCATGATAAGGCCTAAAATCAGTAAAATTAGTTCTCAGCTTTCGGAGATCACAGGCTCCAAACAAACTCACAACTGTGGGAGTCGTTATATTGAACCAATGAGTTGTTCAAGAATATCACTCACCCCTGCATCATAGTTCAGTTGTTTAGACGAGAATGGAAGGCATCGGTGCGGGGTACTCACTACATCTGTCTTCGGAATCGTTGGAAGACTGACTGTATGCCGCCCGTCACAAGAAAGAAACAGGACCTATGTAAGGAGACGTACTCAACATGTTAACCCTGATGGCGAAAGACGGGTAATGAGCGTGACACCGATGGTTTGAACGTCAAAACGTACAGAGAGTATCCTATTGCAACATATCGTGCCTATGAAACGTTCCCGTCAGTACAACTAACTAACCACGGTCAAAATTACAAGCTACGTACAGTGAGATACAAAACGGTCATCATAGACCACCGTTGCCTCTGCCGCGAGTTAGTTGTCATATTTTCTTCAAGCTTTTCATGTGAGAGTCCGCTCACCCAGATTAGTTCCACCTATAAAACTGTTGTCAGCGAGATGGCTGCTCCTGCAATGGTGACAACCTACCTCTTGTGCGAACATAAGTCCTATAAATCACATGATGAGTCAGTGGTATTTCATACTTAAATATTGCTCACCCCAATCGTATATGACCGCAGCACAGGAGACAACTGTGAAACCATGGCCAATGTTAATCGATTCATCAGGGTCATGATGCAGCTGACTCTCCACGGACCTACGAAATAGCTGTAAAAAATATTCTGATCGATGGTTGGCCACCAACTGGGATCGTTCGAGACTAGAGTCATACTGTGAGAGGATGGGGGTGAGCGAGCGGAGGAACTTTGTGGGCGTACGACGATAGCATTCGTGCCTGATATACCAGTACTATCTAGCGCTTATGCCACCGAAGTAAGGTGCCAGGCACCATATCTGAGATCAAAGTGAATTCAAGTAGCAAGAATGTACATCCATATACCGATGAGGTCAAGGTGGAGTGGGTAGCGCAAAATGTTTGAACGCCGCAAAAGATCCGGGAACTGTTTGTAGTCTAGCGCGCTCTTTCAAGTCTTCTTTGGGTATAGCGAGGGTTCGGACTGCCTCAGCCAATCGATGACACCCAATCACGGATCTACACATGATTGATTCGGCGGCGCTCCAAGTCGACCCCGAGGCAAAAAATCCACAATCTTTTGTCTAATTCATGTGCACGCTGATTAGTACAAATGCGACCAGAAGTACATACATGAGTCGTATCCAATTCCTTGTCATAAAACACGATCAACATGTGGAGACGAGGGCAGTCGTACAAAGAAGGGAATAAAAGGGTGGTTGTACAAAAGAGGAGGGGGTTGTTGCACAAGGAAAGAGCGATCAAGTGATTTAGACAGGAACGGAGGCTATAGGAAAGATGATGAAGAGGCGATGATGGTACAGCTTGAATGCGAAGTTAATGAATGTGTGATGATCCAATTTGGTGGTTCATAAGCAAGTAATGACGGAATTGAATAAATGCACTGGTGATAGAAGATCAAGCTCGTCGACGAGTTTGAGGAGCGAATAGCATGAGAGTGAGAATCGAATAGAAATCTTCCATTCCTTGAAGGAAGATTTCCTCCATCCGTAGTTTAAACCCGTCCCAAGGAGACGCAAAGACCGATATTGATGAGAACAAGAAACGAAAAAACAGGGAGTGTGGACTGCGCGTTTCGTGGCAGAGCGAGAGCGATAGTGGTTGCTTGAAGCGGAGAACGAAGGGGCGTGCATGATCATGCATAATGGCTAACGAGCGAGTGTGTAGGCGTCCTAATAAATGCAGCATGGAATATGGATCGTCAGCAGATACAAGGCTAGAGACATGCGATACATACCTTTGACGATTGGAAAACGAAAAAGACAGGTCAGGAGCGAAGGAATGGGCGGGAGGGGATAAGCGGAGGAAATAGGAAGGACGTCAGAGTGAGGTGAAGGCGAACAAGACAAAATGTAAACAAAGTACCAAAACCAGGTCGGGTTTCAAAAAAACGACAGCAAGAGAAGATTGAGAAAAATAAGCAACCATAAGTAAGGAGCAACCTGCGAATGCTGAACAAAAGAGACGCAAATAAGGAAATACGTCAAGCGGAGAAAAAAGAAAAACTGGGGGAAAGAAAGAAATCAAAAGGACTCATCAGATGAAGCAGATGGAACGATCGACAAAAATACAAGTACATCGAAATCCAAGATATACAAAGATGAAGCCAAAGGAGACGAGAAAATCAAAATCGAAGCATCGAAGATAGATGTTTGCGAGCACTGCTCACACCAAACCATCGAAAGTGAAATCAAGCAAGCTGGAACGCACTCCCAAGCGTGACCATCCCACTCTCGCCAGAGAAAACAGGACTCGCAGCCCTCAAACTCCCAAACGAGATCCTACGCGCAGCACGGCGAAGCGTGCGTGGACGCGCCTGGATTGCGAGTAGAGGTGTAGCAGGTGTACTCGGGGACAGGGAAGGCGCAGTCGCGGGAGATGCAAGGGATACTGCAACAGGAGATCCGATAGGAGACGACAGCGGGATACGCGACGGAGGCGATGGAGTCGCCTGTGGACACGGCAGTTCAGGACCAAACATCGAGGGGTTGCGCATGAGGTTACGGCGGATGGGCTTTGGCTTCGTCATTACCTTCATTTCCGCCGTCTCCTTTGGCTTGGGTTTCACCTTCGGTACGGGCACGGGGAAGGCAGGTGTAGAGAGCGAGACGGTAGTTGCAGCAGTCTCTACACTCGCCGTCGAGAATTCATTGTCATTATCAGACGAGCTGGAGGAAGCCTTGGGCAGTGAAAAAGTACTCCGCCCCGACTCGCGTTTCTTGGACTGATCCTTATGCACAGACGATGTAGTAGTAATTTGCGTTGGTGCCAAAACTGGCAGAGTCTGTCGTGCATGTGCGTCCGAGGATGCGATTACCGACCACGAAGGTTCCCTCGTACGGGGCTTCTTCGCACGTTGAGAACGTACTTTCTCCTCTTCGTCAGAGGATATGGATGAGGAAGGCGCGTGCCCCTTGCGGAATTTAGGCTGCTTGATGGGTGTGGCTGCTTTGATTGAGGTGGTGGGTAGCACTCGAGATTTGGATGGAGGTGTCTTTGGCGGGGAGATTACGGATAGAGCGGGGACTTTAGGTTTTGTTTTTGAATAGGGTGTCTTGACGTTCTTCGTTGATGGTGTCCTTGGAGTAGGGGGCTGCGTAGGAACTTTCTTGACCTTTACACCAATAATAGCTGCATCAGGATACCCTCCGCTATGGCGAAATTCGGCAATCTTGAACAGATTCTCGCCGTCACCTTCCGGATCCACGCGCATCTCGCAAGAGCTCGCAAGGGTCAACGTGGACGATCTGCGCAGGGAGGACGGACGAAGAGGCGCTGATGTGGAAACAGGAGTGCCAAAGCTGGAATTCGAATTCGAGGACGCAGTAGACTTTCGAATATTGCCCTGAGAGGCATTAAGCGTTGATGAGCTGGGTGTCGAGGGAGCAAGGGAATGTTCCATTGGACGACGCAAATGAACAGGACGTAGGTACGGGTGGTGGAAAGTGTGCTCGTGTCGCTGGAGACGGTGCGAAAGGCTGCGTATAATCAGATAAGGGGATAGATCGGAGGGAACGACATACCGAGCAATGCTCTCGTTATGGTCAGCTTTCGCGTCGGTCATGAAATCCATGCTGGACTGCCTGTATAGTGGGTGACGCTTAGGAGTGTTTGTGGTAGGTTGAAGTACGTCTGGTGAAGTATCGTTGCGCTCAGCACATTTGCTCATATCTGCCGGACGATGTACATTGCCGCTGAGAAAGATAACGTCCTCGTCAATGATGGACTTCCTCCGCTCCTCTATTGCTCTTGCGCGGGCCAGGTCAAGCAATTTAGCACGCGTCGCGGTGACGGAATGGGGCCAGTCATTCGGGCCTTTGGCAGCAGTTATACCGCGTGCAATCTTGTCAAGAAGGTTCGGAGGCGGAATTGATCCGTTGAAAGGTGTAATAAGATGAGAAGGTAGCGCATCCAAGGTCTGGGGTGAATTTAGGTGAGTTACTTGGCGAAAAGCGAAGTTCAACACACCCTGCCAAGTAACCTAACCTCATCCTCCTTCCAGTCCAAGCTAGGGTCGTCAAAATCATAGTTTGAGCTATTCCATGAATCACAACTGTTCCTATTTGGAGCTGGGGGCGAAATGAAAATATGAGACGCGACTGGGCTACGAGAAGGAGTCCGTGGAGCAGAAGGAATGAAAGAACTTGTTGAAGGACGCGGTCTAGGAATATGTGGACGGGGGATGATGAGAGCGAGCGGTGAAACTTGAGCAGACATCAAATGAGTGACTGGCATCGAATTGATTAGGGAACGCGTCGAATGGCACCGACAATGTCCTCGTCGTCGTCGTCCGGGGAGAAACAATGACCATGAGGCATAAAATTACATAATCAAAGATAATTACTAGGTCCGACAACTCCGACCGAAGCAGATCGTGGTATTAAATCAAGAAGCCTTGTGACTTATACGTACAATGATTTTTCAAACCGGCGGTACTTGTACTACCGCCCTTCTATGTATACGGCGAAACTTATTGTCCGGGCGCAGGCAGCTGATATGGGCATTTAACTTTCCTATGGAGTCCTTGTACCCCACATCATATTCCCACATGCGAAGAATAGTACAGGTCTAGATCACCATAGATTGGGATTAGAAGCAGCGGCAGCGTTAATTAGAACTTCATAGGGTACTTGGCACTAGGGAAGGTCGAGAAAAATCACATCTCGAGTTCGATGGAAGCAGATTCGTGCTGAATCGACCTAAGTAGTGAGCTCACCTCGTGGGCTGTGACGGTCTAGGGGCATCTAGATCGAGTTATGGACGAAATATCCAATCCTTCGGTGCCATAGAAAACTCACTGCTCGGAAGTAGCTTCCTGGTGAACCGGCCTGAGCGTGTCCACCGTGGGTATCAGGAATCCTAACACGCATTCCTCGTTGGTGCAGCAGATTCATGATGATAATAGACATCAGTCCCTCGATAGATAAGCCGCTGCCTCTTGCCTTGGGCTCGGTTGGGTTTGAGCTTTCAGTCCGTGCTCAGTCTAGTAATCCTAATATGCAGGCTATGTCAATCTTCCAACACCTAGATCAGGGTATGTGCGACTCTGAAAATCCGATAATCAATGCCCCAATTCACCTTACTGCCCAAGTCAGATGGAAGCAGTGGAAACACATGGACACACGAGTGCATAGTAGCAGGGACCAAAGGAGGGACAGCATGAACACATACAGTTACCCCACTGGTCTCTGCTACAGACTGCAGAAAATATCGAGAAAGTAGACCCATCACAAAATGTTCAATGCACTGGCACCAAGTTTGAATTTGAAGTATTTTGTGGCCTGAAGTCGACGTAGGATAAATGTGAGGTTCTGTAGTGGCCTTTCGATATGGAGGACAGTATGGCTTAATAACCACAAGGTCTAACATCCAGCGCAGCGTCGAAAGATACCTAATATGCACAGTACACTCCATAAACGAAGCTGGTAACCCTCGTACGTCACGATCAACCTTCGAGCCAAAATTCAGCCAACATCATAAAAAAATATCACGAACCACGAACTCACCTCCACACCACAAAATCTTAATAAATTACGCAGCTTGTGCCAACTTCCGTTCTCTCCGTTCAGTGATCTCCGCACGCTTCTGCGCAAGCATAACCGCCGCACGTTCGTCCCACTGATATGCCCAATATCCAACGTAACCAAAAGCGGCCATTGACAGCGCATGTCCGCCGAGGTCTGTTCACGACGTCAGCATCAGTATCATACCTATAGCACAATAAATGTTGTGGTGATTGAGGGCACGCACTCTCCATGAGATTTCTCTTCTTTATTGCGAGCTGCCCGAAACGAGCTGCAAGACCGAATAAAGAAAAACCAGCAATCGTGCCGAGGAGTGCCATCGCGTAACCGTTTGTTTTTGTGTAATTTCCAGTGAGCAGGTAGGGTTGAATTGTGCGGGGGATGTCGCGAACCTCGAGCTTGAAGCGTTTGTTAACCGAGCCAAATACCGACAAATAACCTCACTTTGGATTGTGATGAGCGTAGCCAATAAAAAGTTTCAATTTGAATTCATATCCACCGAATTCTCAGAAATATCTAGACTTGTGGACAGATCGTCCAAATATTACCCTGCAGAGCTCCCCGCAGACCTTGCGACGAGGTGATTTAGAGGCAAATCTCACCGCAGGATCGACTTTCCAGGTACAGTCGTGTTACAGCGTGAACGCGAAACATAATTTTTGTCTTGCATTTACCTAGTTCAAGTTGTATCATACGAAAATGTGATCTTTTTGTGAAGAGACCTTGCATGACGAAGAGACGTCACCCAATCTCATCGAGGATACGATGATAATATTTCATGAATGGGCCAGTACCAATTCGAAGGACCAATGGGCATGTTATGTTGTATCCACACTTCGAAGTTGTTTTCAAAACAAACGTCCACTAGGACTTGAGTATAAAATACAGGCCATCGGTGGAGGACTCAAACATACTCTCCCATATTTGATCTATTTCTCCTACACTCTCGGTGGAGACACTGTTGAAAAATTCAGCGAACTGTGACTTTGTCCTACAACCATCCTTTGAAAATGTCCGATAATATCCATGTGTGTGCTACACTCACGGTGAGCACAATATCGTAAAATCCAGCGAACTGTGACTTACCGGTTCCCATAGCCAATTAAAATAACTCAATACTATAGGATCGCACTGGTCCAGTTTTGGCGAGGCCAGAAAGAACCCCTTAGGCCCTATCCGCTTCACTGGGCACTCTATGTTGAAACTGGTCCAGGTGTTGGCAACACCTACGAGATCGTAGGAGATCAGAGTACCTACACCTTTCGTATGACAGTGGACCAGCCCCTTGCAAACAAGGAAGACTATCGCGGATGTTGTTATCTTGGAAGAGTCTCTGAGGCTAGGCTCCCCAGAATGGGGGCGATCCTCGCAAAAATTGAGGTCTTCCGAAATTGTCCCATTTGGAACAGCCACGATTGGGTGGAGACAGCTTTGAGGACTCTCAGGGACTCAGGTTTTCCCGTCCATAGTAAAGAGGAGGTTTTGCACGGGTGTCTTCAAGATGAGATGCTCTGGCAGCTAGAAGATTGGCCTGGAATTGAGGATGTCGTCGAATTTGTCGGTTACCAATATCTCGAGTGTGTAATATACTCGAAGTCCCGGAGGTTGCGCACAGAGGGTCAGGAGTGAACCAAGCGTTCTGGACTTGGAGGACGGAGGGTTGAAAGAATCTGACAAGTTAGTCTGTATTTGTTTGTGATTTCGTATCATCGATATCCAGCGGTCAGCTGAGTTATGTTCTTCGGCTGCCAAACTCGTGCAGAGTAAGTACCACAACACTACTGGTATACATAACACTGCACTCGATGAAAGTAAATATGGTGTCCTTGTAGGCATTGTGGTCAGTCAGAATAGCTATGTCTCGTCCCGCGCGCCAAAGAGGATATGCGCTTCCGGACGTGAAACCGATCATATAGTGAGAACAAAATCAAGCGCGAACTAGCTTTGGTCCGGAATGAGTACCGAATACACACAGGAAACCACTGAGCTGAACAGAGACGGGCCTGAGTTTGCGAGGCATTCGAGGGATATAAGACCACCCGAGTAGTAGACTGGCGCCGTTACGATAGTAGTACTAGTACAAGCATAGAAGGCAACATACTGCAAGGTGTTGTATCCACGTGAGACGGATTCGGCACCACTGGTGATCAACTGCAACGAGTTCGGTTTTGGCGGTACGAATGATGGACAATGTAATGTTTCAAAAGCAGTCAGTTACTACATCTGACCTTGTCGGGACTCGGCAGTATCCGAGCTGATAGGGACTAAAAGGTCAGTTACTGCCTTTCGATTTCCCAAATTCCTACTACTTACAATCACTACTCTTAAAATTTCTCTATCCTACCATTAATTCGCCAAACGATGTCAACTCCAGATACCTCTATCTCAACTACTCAGGCCTCGGAGATCATAGAGTCGGTTTCATCACCTGGTGTCGTGCAGGATAGCCTCCGCGATGCAAACGTCAAAGTACCCACGCAAGCGGAATTATCTACTGTAGAGTCAAAGTTAGCCACCGCGCGCTCGAAGAAAGACACTGGTGATGCTGCGTTCAAAGTAGGAGATGTCAAGAGTGGTAAGTAGCGCATCTTTGGCATTGTTAATTAGTAGGTGATCCTTATATCGCGTACAGCATTGCGATCGTACCACGAGGTGAGGATATGACCAAAGACTTGTATGATGTACAGACGACCTCTAACGTAGCTACTACGTGAAGACGCTTCTGTATCTTCACGGCATCGATAAGTATGGTTGCACCATGTTAACTCACGTTCATACTTTACGAACTCTGAATTTTCCAGAAACGCCCTTAAATCGCTTGGATTGGCTGTCCCATCGTCTCCGTCATCGATGTCAGCAGTAGACCAAGCTGCTGGTGCAAAAGATGTAACGACTGAGGTACGAACCCGAAGTCCGTCGATCGATAAAAGGTAACAGGAGGACTTTGCTCGACAGGCAGATATGATTCTGGAGAAAGTATACGCCAATATGTCTGCCTGCCATATCAAACAAGAGAACTGGAAGCGGGCAGTGGATACTGCTGACAAGGTTTGTTGCCCTCCAACGCAAATATCTCTCGCTTAGGCTAGTTTGTAGGCTCTGGGCAAAAACGCATCTAATTCTAAAGCACTTTTCCGAAAAGCAAAGGCCCTTGGAGAACTTGGATTTTTCGAGAAAGCTGAGATAGCTCTCAACGAGATCAAGAAGGTCGCTCCCAACGGTGTGTCGTTCTTTGAATTCTCTTTCGGGATATATTGTTGACCTACGAATATGTACTACTTACATTCATCATTCAGAGGCGCCCATGGCCGACGCAGAGCTTGCGCGTCAGAGAGCGATGGACCGTGAACGGCAAAAGGCTCACGATCAGAAAATGAGAGGTGAGATTTTTCTTTGTTCCTATTTTTCCCTACTGAGATTGGTCACGACGATAGGCTGGCTTTCACGAGAGAAGAAGCAGGCTGCGAGCGAGTAAACCTAGTCTGGAGCGAGGATGTGTACAGCAAAAGCTCACGATACCACGTGTATATTGTATTTGAAGCGGACATCATGGTTTGTTGCACCTTAATTCAGCGAAGAGTATACACGATTCTCGACATTGGGGTCAATTATTATAAGTACTTGTAACGAAACGAAACTTGGACGCCGTGGCTAACATTACATAATTGCACATGGAAGTTGCCATGGAGCTTTAACGACCTTTTCTCGTCAAAATCCATGGCGGTTGGTTTATCGTCGCTTCCTACAGAGCTGATATGTCACATTCTACTCTTCCTCACCCCCAAGGACATTTGTCGCTGTGCAATTGTCTGCTCTTTCCCTGTATTCTGTATTTCTGCGATGCTAACTTTCTGAATCACGTTAGACCTGCAAAATTGTCTGGGATGCGGTTCAAAATTCGGTCCACATCCAATACAAGCTTGAGCTTTATGCACAAGGCCTCAATGAGACCGATTCTACGAACGCAGACTCCATCGGCATTGCCAGCAAGATGTGTTCGCTCAAGAACTTGGCATCCTTGTGGCGGTCTGGTTTCCATGTCAATACCGTTTTTCAAGATGCGGTTACTCGAGACGAACAGTACATGGAGCCACAGTTCGTGAAATGTGGGACTTTATGGGTGTGGAGAATGAACGATCTTTTGATTCGAGACTGCAAGAAAAAGACCAAACCCCCTCAAATGTGGCCTGAGGATGGCTTGTTCCAACAGTCACACACACACAACTTGACTAGGCATTCAGTTGTTGTCGACCCACTGCAGGATCTTGTAGTTGCAATTTCATCGCCTCCTACGTTGACTTGGGACGATGCTCGGCAAGATCAACTTATCTTTTGGGTCGACTTCTGGCTGGCTTCATCCCAGCTCCCGCATCCGGACTCTGCGTGCACTTCGTTGGAGTGCAGACATACTTGTGAACCTGATACCTACGCTGTTCATATTCTGAGTAGGCCTGCAATCTGTGGAGATCGTATAGTTGTGCTCTATCACACGAAACACACTTTAGGGGACATGTTCACGCCCAACATGTTCATACAAGTCATAGATTGGAGAAAAGGACATGTCAAAAGAGTAAGTCCACTCTCCTCTTGAAAACTTTGCCGCTTAGTCCAAGTAGCATGCTTTATGGGAACTAGGAGAGCGACTGTATACAAATTTACATCTAGTCGACAAACACACGATGCTTATCATCAACTCAAAAGGTTATATACTCTCGTACACATTACAAGGACTTGATGGCTCACCTCGATGTCGAGCCACGTATCTCCTGCCGATTCTGAGACTTGGCCATTATCTATCTGCAGATTCGACATCCATCTTGCCATACTGTGTTGTTTATGCCTCCCCATCGTTCCATGGTACAGTAGCTCACCCAGGCCTGATGCCCAGCTACGTGCCCTCTCCGGAGTCACAAATTATGATTCTGGAAATTCTCCCTATCTCATGGCCCGTAATGATCGTCATTGACATGGCCATGTTTTCAGAAAAGGCCATACGATCAGAGACGCCTGTTGAGATTCCGTGGTCAGACTGGGGACCCAAGTATACATGGTGCTTTCCGCATCATCCAAGCCATCGAATCAGTGTGTTCGGTAGCAAAATGGCATATGCCCTTCCTCTAGATCATACTCCTGAACCTGGTCAAAGGGTGGAAGCGCTCTCCCCCGAGGGAAACTTCTACATACACATCTGGGACTTCAATAAGCGACTCATTGCTCGCTCAGAAAATACACACGATCCCGATTCACCGGAAGTTGTGATACGCAAGCCTGGTCGGTTTGCTCAGTCGTGCTTTGATGAAGACCTGGCCTTTAACCGTCCTTACATTGCTTCTGTCTGCGCCGAGCCTTTCTCGATGCGCCACTTTGACAGGGTTTTCTTAGAACAAGATCGGCTTACTTTAACGAGGGTGAGTGGTTTTTTGTGATTCGAGATACGGCGATGATTTACTAATATGGCAAAATCATAGTTACCTGTTGGTTTCGTTGATATTCAGGTTGTTTCACCCATATCGATGGAGGTTGGCTTGGAACATGAAAGGCATAGAGAAGAGTCGCTGTAGTATAGCATGCATGTTTCGGGGCTCCCAAGGTGTTGTCGTTTCGATATAATAGCGTGAATTCTATTGGTCGTGACTTGAATTCGATCATTTACCACATACGCATAATCAAACTGTAGGCTCGAATCTAGCTCAGCTCATATTCAAAACGTTTCTCATGTACGATTGACTCGAATCTTGGGTTATGGTAAGGATGCGTTCAGTGTTGCACCCTCAAGTCAGTAGATGGAAATCAAACTGAGCATGTTGAGATGAGCTAATGGGTTTATCTCGCATAGATTCAAATGCGAGGTCAGTCGATTTCTGGGATTCTTTCATATACATCAGCAAAATGTCTATGACCGTGCAATGTCCATATCGCAGAAGCGTATGTGTAATAAGTATCCATATCCATGTCCATATTCCATGACGTAAACGATCACTAAAGTGCGACAGCGTCCATACCGCAGTCCAAAGTAGGGCAAACGAATACTGACAGGAATGTGTCTTGCCAGATATCACTGGCCAGAAAGGGCCCGGCGGTAAATATCTTCATTGCGCAGTTGTTGGCGCGGGTGAAGAGAATGCACACCAGACAAGATGTTGCCAGAACATGGAGTGCAGGTGGGAGGCGGCAGAATATACTCCTGACTAGAGTCAGATGAACCCAAGTCACTCCATTCGAAGTCAACATCCTGACGGGTGGCTATATGCGCCGGAAACCCAACTACCAAAGGCGAGTTCGGTGCTTGAGGATTCCGCATGGCAGATGCCAAAGTAGCTGCACCCTGCATATCATGAAGCTTGATGGGATATATTGGTTTTGGTGCGGCTATGTGCAGCTCCCTACTAGTCATGGAGTTCTGCTCGCCTATATAAGATGGTGGTCGACGCAACTTGGCCACACCATGGTTAAGACACGGGCGAGTTTTCGAGGTTTTTATGGGTGTCCAAGTGCAGACCCTTCCTGCCTTTTGGCAACTGAGACACAGTGGCTGCTCTCCGGAACACTGAGCTCTGTTGTCAGAGGTACGCCGGATATGATGGTGATGGGCACTGCTCACTTTTTTCTTCTTATTGCGGCATTCATCGCAGGCATGAACAACGCGAGGTTGAGTACGTTTTGATCGTACTTGTCCGGCCAGCTCGTGAGTCGGATATGATCCCTCAGGAGAAACGGTCCTGCGAGCTGGAGTGGATGATTCGCCAGGAGACATGTTCTGCTGAGTGATGAATGGAAGATCTCCAACCGGTGGAAAAGCCGCGTTGCTGTAGTATGGCGCTTTACCACCAAGGGAATGTTCAAAAAGTTGGAGTGTGACCATGAGATTCTGGTGCCAAGCTATTTCATCAAAGATGGGATATGTATTTATGGCCTGGCCAATAGGTACCTGGACCGGCACTGACAGCAATTCTGGTTCAGGCTGGTTGAGGGAGCAGAATGCGGGGTAAGTCCTGGTTGACATGATGAAAGAAGGAAAGTAAGATAGGAGTCAAGTCAAACAGCTGCGGTGCAAATCCAAGACATTTGAACTTGGACTGCACCGCAATTGCAACATCCAAGACATTTGGAACCTATAGAGAACTCGTGACCAGTCTGACCCACAGAAGGTCATGTAGTATACGTGCAAAGGCTAATGTCGGAGTTCGAAAGCCTGAGGACGACGCGAAGCACGGTACAAGCGCTCTGAGTCAGCAGTAGAAGGAACGGCTACCTCACAGTATGTGTTGAATCTTGGTCTTGCAAAGTGAGGACTCTGGATGCGCTACCTTTTCATTTCAAGTCGAGCACCAATTGACGGTCAGCATCTCGATTGAGTTCTTTCTTCCTTTGCGTCGTCCTGTTCGTCCTGTTCGTCCTGTTCGTCCTGTTCGTCCTGTTCGTCCTGTTCGTCCTGTTCGTCCTGTTCGTCCTGTTCGTCCTGTTCGTCCTGTTCGTCCTGTTCGTCCTGTTCGTCCTGTTGAGAGCCGATGAAGCCAAGGACGGAAAGACCGAGAGAGGAAGAGCCAAAGGGGAGAATGGCACTGTGAAGATAATTTTCGAGCGGGAGCTTCAGGACACGCTAGACAGGTACGATCTCAGTATTCGGTTCACAAATCTCTCTATTGACAAGTGTTTTTACCTAGACAGGTACGCTACGTTAAACATTAGTGTTCGTACTCAAACGTTACACATCTATGTTTGGACTCGTCTTGAGAGACACTTCAGAGCGATGCTTTTGGGATAGTCCAGGGACACTCTCGTACACCTTCCACACAATACTCTTTTTGGTGTTTATGACTCTCGGAGATGTGGTGCGTGAAAATCTTGCGATTATCAGGCCAAGATCAAAAGATAGATTGTACTAGACTTATGATATGATCAGATTGAGATTGATAACTGCGCTACATGAATATCAAGCTGTCTACTAGTTGTCTGAGATCACCGATAGCGAATGGTACAGCTCTTTGTCTGCGAAATTGTTCAAGAAATAGTCATCAAACACCTCCAGCGAGTTCCCAGAATTCACGTCCTTGCCCAATGGTCCTTGATAGACGGGTATAATTTCCACTGCATGCGTGATGTCTGTGAGAGCGATTATGGACCCGTGTCTGATCACCCTGTCTGACTGCGAAGAGAGTTGAGTATAAGACCGTCTGACCATCCACATGCCCGTAGATGGTTCAGGGCCAGGCACGATGAAGTCAAAGTGTTGAATATATACGAGCACCTGAGACAAACGCTCAGGAAGCTGCGCACGGGAACCTCTGGGGAAGGTTGGTTGGAATATGGCTCGTACTTGAGCAACATAAGACCCTGCAGAGCGATATCAAGTGTCAGGGAGTGTCATCACCAGTCAATTTAGCAATACGCACCATCATTACCACCATCACCCATCTGGTTAAATAACACGGCATCACAGTTCCCTCTAGGAAAATTAGCAGAAGGTGGCTCGGCATGAATTTGCTGACTCGGCATGATTCTGCAAGTGTGAAACGTGGAATATAACTGAATCCGAAATTTGGACCACATATTGAATGATAGTTGGTCAGAGAGTGTACAGCCATTGCGGGTCGCGTAGAGGTGTAAAGTGTGTGCAAAATCAGGGAGATTGTATGATGGCTGCAGCTGAGACACACTGAGACGGCTGCGATCTGCTTTCACGGTGACATTAAAGGCGATACGTGCGTTGTCCGATAAAATACCCTTCAAGAAGTGATTACGAACAGGGCACGGTGCTTGTAGACGTAGCTGGGCGGCTGGGTTTGCATTGGAGACCCAAGCAAGAGTGGGATCCGTCTCTGTGCTAGCGATCTCTTCATCCTCCATGATGACGGCATTGATGAGAGGGTCCTGGCCAGGCATAGATGAGGACGAGGATAGCAGCATATAAAGATCAAACAGCCGGATAGCCTCCTCGCGATCAAGGATGCGAGCGATCTGTGAGACGAAGTCTCACTGACGACTTGTGCGTTCAAATGGGTGTTTGCAGTGCGTTATCAAAAGACGTTCTGAAACATCTGCTGTCCACTGCATGAGTGAACCAACATGGAAGATTGCACGAGTGAAACTTTGCATGAGTTCGAGTTTCGGAATGAAGAAGTCGTCCTTAGCACCACCCTTTCCCTGTCGTGCCTCTGCGTCAAGGATAGCCTGCTTATTATTATGGAAGTCCCGAAGTGCCTGAGCCATGGAAGCGATGCTGGATTCAGTATGAAGGGGATTTTGAGCAAGGTAAATGAAGTCAATCATTGCCTGCACAGCGCGGATGAAGCCAGGACTTGCCACACCCCACAGTGTCGGCACAATTGTGCGTTGAATGTCTCGGTGCTCCCGTCCTGTCATTTGGTTGACATGAGAGACACCCCCAGAGAAATGGCGTATACCAGTGCGCTTGTGGTGACTCTTGAACCGTACATCAAGTTCATGACCCATGATCTGCTTGATCCATTTAAGAACATGGTCGAAAAAGAACTTGTGCAGCGCGTGAAGAATCTCTGGCGTCAGGAATCTTGCAGGATTAGAGTGCCTCCAGTTTCTCCAGTACGGCAAGTGCACCCCACTAAGATGAAGTTTTTTGGCCTCTCTAACGAATACAATGAGATTCCATGGGTCGACATGGTTACAAAGCTGCTGGATAAGCGTGTAGGTATCCGATCCATTCCGTGGAGGATGTGGTGTCTCATTGCCAAACTCTTTGTGGGTCGCTGTGGTGACAGGAGATGAGTTTTTCATAACGCATGCGATCATCAATTGTTCGGGGAGATCAGCAACATGGCTGATAAGAGGGGTGAAACAGTAACGCATTCTGGCTGAGGGATCAACCATATACTCGCCAACACGAGCCACGACCTTCAAATTAGAACAGACAAGATCCATGCACTTATGCCACAGATGCGCACGGAGTAGAGTTTGAAAGTCAGAGTTGACAACGAAAGTGGGTGTTGGCATGAACACAGTACATCGCCACGCATGCGACGTAGCCTTCATGCGGACATCGGCCTGGATATTTCCAATCGTTAGAAATAATGGGTGCATCTCAAGGCCACCCATATGCCTTGTGACTGGAGTTTTGTCAGAGGCAAGGACGATCGGAACGATAGTCGCTCCTTCCGGTAGTTGATCCTATGTGCAAGTGTCAATCGCTCAAGTAAATCTGAACCAAAGCACAACTACTTACTTGAATCTTCCATGCATCATCTGACGTCCAGAATTCTCCAAATTGGTGTTCTTGTCCTTGATAGATATAGTGAGGGTCATAGCACATATGTTTCGCATAAACCGGGTTTGCGAAAAGCTGCTTCGTAACCTCCAACGCGTCCCTCCAAATGAGGTGAATTGCTTGTTCACTTTTGTAGCCCTTGAGCTTAAGTTTCGTGCACTGCCATTTTGGCCCGCGGCCAGGAAGCTGCTGCATATAGAAGAACAACTCGTCTTTCGACTTGAATTGCGGCCGTTCCCTTGTCTGGAACTGAAGTAGAACGTCAATCAAGTATTTACTTGATGATAATTAGACGTACCCAGTCTAACTTGAGAAATTTGTCGATCTGCGTCTGGGAAAGATTTTCGACAAGGAATTTTGCAAGCGACCATTCACCCAGCCCATCAAAAGGGTACCATATGTTAGTCTCTCTGGCTTGCTGAAGAGGGTGGCCTTGCATTTCCTGAAAGATATTTCGTGGAGGCGGTTGATCTGGAAGCAGGTAATGGTAGCCAGAGGTGGGGTGATACTTTGCTGATAAGGATGTCTGCTCTGGTGGTCGCTGTAGAGCCTGTGGTACTGGCAGTAGTGATCCGTTAGTGAGGTTCTCTGGCCAGCATGAGTCTGCACTATTAAGATGCTCTATGACCTCCTCAGATGATTGGTATGGTTTCTTGCAGTTAGGACACAGGGCGACAGCAATGTCAAAGGGTGAACTGGAGAAAGATATCAGTGAGTCGTGTATTACCACATAGTACTACTCACTTTTCAGTAAACTCTCCAAAATCAGAGTCGGCTTCCTCACGCTGAAAACCAGAGTTGTATGGATCGTAGGGCTGAGGATACGCCATAGAGCGACTAGAGGTACTGCCAGCGCAATGCTTTGCACAACACTTGAAAAGCACCAAGTCCTTGAAACTCCGACCGTCAATCGGGCTTGCTGTCCAACATACTGCCAGACTTACAGTATCAGCTATGTATCCTCCACAGTCTCTGGTCTTGAATTCATTGAATGACGAAACCCCACCAACCAGTCCGTTGCATAGCGGAAAGTCTAGTCCAATTCTCCAGAAGGTCGATTATGCCGAAGCTTTCACTCGTGTCTACCATGATAGCCCCCAAAGCTCTTCTCCACCCAGCAGCCTTCATGCCTTGTCGTCCCCAGGTACTCATTATATCGTCTCAAATACCAGAAAATACTCATTTTGAATCTAAGCAGCATCTGTCACTTCCTTTAGGTACCATAACTTCGGACATGGTGATGTCAGTCCACCTACTGCAAAAAGGCGGGGTGGAATGTGTCATTCAAAACAGATTTCACTGTCCAGCTACCACCCTTATGTCCGGAAAACCCCCCCCACTCCGCAGGCTGAGCGCAAGATGACTAGGGTAATGGGCAGATTGACTGGCAATGTTGATTCAGACCTTGACGATGATGCGGTATGTTACTATATCTTACGTTCTGAATTCAAGTGAAATGTCATCATGTCTCTAGACTTGCAAAATATTCTCTCAGGGCTTGCAGCGGTTGTCGTCTGAAGGTATTCGCCGTGTTGCTTATTACAAGGAAGCAGAGCTCGAGCACCACCGGCATCTTTCAATGGCTTTGGCCTGGGAGGCAGAGAAACTCTCAAGGCTCAGACATTTTATCAATTTTGAACAACAGGAGCGGGAGGAACAAACCACTCGGGCATTTGAGGAGGCAGCGCTCTTTGCAAGTATGGTGACTGATCGTGATGCAGAGCGTGCCTCTCAGGATCTGGAGTCCATCACTTCAATCCAACAGGAAGAGGCGACAAGGGTCAAGCAGTTGAATGATGAGCTCGATGAGCTCGATATATTCCTTCCTTCGGATGTTCCAGCTTCAGACCTCAACACTGCTGACACACACTCCATCGGAGGTCCTTGCGATTTTGCATTTGTCGGAGATTGCCACGAGGATGAGCTGGCATCAGGACCGAAGTGAATCAGAGTGGAGGTCTATTTTTATTAACCAATATGAAGGTGAGCTTCGTTCTTTTATATGGCAGTCACGCACTTATTTATTGGTAAAGTGTAGCGTGCAAGATGTGATTGGATATTGCAAGGTGGTATTTAAGCAAACTTGTTTTCCTACGTTTGTCCATTTAGCGTGTTGACATCCTTATTTGTAGTTTGTATAACTACAATTACCATTGAATGTAGCACGTTGTGAACCTTTTTTTTGCCTTACGAAGATGTTCTTACACACACTGATTATCGATTGATCGTTGTACCTGCACTTGACCGTGATGTCTGCAAGCCAAAACGTGCCCCCTAGAGCTCATCGAAGAGTTGTGCGGGTGAGTACCCTGGAATGTCTCTGTTACTAGTAGTGTACTGACTTATATAACAGGATGTTCCCATTGTTCGACAACCAGGACTTAACGTCGCAGGTCAGTCGTTGGCAAACCAGCTTGGCTGTGCATCGGAGATACCAGAGTCGATGAACACACCTGAACTACCCCCTCGCATCTATCCTCCCCCCACTTTCTCGAATGATAACTACACCTCTATTCCGCCCAATTTCCAGGGCAACATCCCTTTACCAAGGGCATCCTGTTTTACTGGGATGGCCCCCCACGCTGCGGGGCCTGATCGGGTTCAACGGTCATTTGCACCTGCAGGTGACGTTGCATCTCGATATCGTATGGTATACACATACTTGCCTCTTCGTGGTGCGGAAAAATCTCGTCAAGAATATACCGATGGTGTTGTTTTTGTAAGTCTTGTTTTATATAAGTCTGGATTGTAGTTAATCATATATTAGAGAGACGAGACTATGGGAGTACAAAAGTCTACCACACGACGATACAAGCTTCCACCTGTTAGACCCCCAAGGGAGTCGCTCGTGTCAGATCCAGAGCCGACGCCACTTGCTACCACCGCTCCCCCCTCTGCATCATTGACTGTCGCAAGAGCTACACATGCTACTGTGGGACCTTTGGTCAACGAAAAGGACTCAAAAACCGTTATGAAGGATGCTAAGAACCACGTAGTTGTAGAAACACTGAATAAGTGTGCTTTCCACGATTCATCTAGTCGAACGACTGTCGTAGGACGTGCACTTACTGATGCGTGTTCGCTCATTATCACCAAAGGTGAGTTCTTCGTGCTACAACTAGGGTACTATCAGGTGCTAACGGGATAACTATTAGATAGCTTGAGAAAACTTTGGGTTGACGAAAATCTATCTGCACTATACAAGACCGTCATTACGCCGATGTCTACAATACTCAATCGCTTCAAGCAATCTGCACAAGACCTCGTTGAAATTCTATACAGCCTCCAACTATCGATTTGGACCGACTTGACGGCCCAGATTAACCACACTAAATCAACTGTCGCATTTCTGATTCGCGATGACAGTCTCAATTATATATTTGGCGATTCAGTTATGGTATGTAGTACTATTTTGCGAGTGCCATTGTTTGGAGGATGACAAGCTCATTGATAGCTAGACGACGGTCGAAACTTTCGCTTCCCATTTGAACACAACGCAATTATTCAAATTGCATTGCGTGCTGCTTTTCGCGATGGCTATGATAGATTCATTGATTCGGACAGCAGTCTCGACAATATCATGGCATTGTCTGCGACGGCTGCATGCTGCAGCCTGCACGAGTTCTCGACCGGCGTGTTCAAACAAATTGACTTCAGTTACGCTACTTTTAACAGAATGTATGAGAGACTGATGAATTTCATTCGTGATAACATTAGGACCTCTCCAATGTTGCTATCTAGGTGGAAATCATTATACCAACTTCTTCATAGTAGATCTCGTTGATGCAGTTGTAGATTATCGCGGTTGTATTAACAAGTTATCTTTGCCACTTCAGTTTATCAGCCAGATATGGTGTGTTATATTGGTTTTCAGTATCTCCACCAATTGCCTGAGTTCGCTACTGAAGTCGTAAGCGTTCGTAAGTGTTCGTAACGCGCGTAAGTTAAGCATTCATTTCAGTCGTTTTGCAGATGCACTAGAACACTCACATCTCAGTATTCGGTTCACGAATCTGAGATGCTTCAACGACGACTGGCTGCTTTTATATGGTGAGTGCGCCAGCAGGTCTTTTTTTGATGAAAACTTATACTAAGCGAACGAAAAGATTGCCGACGTTGACACGTCGTCGACATTCTCCATTTGGTGGCGCTCACACCTCAAGTCCCTTCATCCTTCGGCCGTAGTGCCATTCTCCCCTTCGGCTCTTCCTCTCTCGGTCTTTCTGTCCTCGGCTTCATCGGCTCTCAACACTCCCCCTCGAGCGCTATCCAAACGCATCATCCCTCTCAATCTCTGGAGTCTGGGTCGCGGCAGGGCCTTGGTGAACGCATCAGCCACGTTGTCCTCGGTGGGGCAATAGAATAGCTTGAAGACGCCACTCTTGACGTGCCCTCGAACGAAGTGATAGCGTAAGTCTATATGTTTCGTCCTGGACTGGAACTTCCCGTTTGATGCTAACGCAATAGCTGCCTGATTATTGCAGTGTATGGGGATTGGGAGGTTCGGGGCATTGTAGAGTTCGGTGACGAGGAGCTGTAGGAAGAGGAGTTCGCGCACCACACTGGTAAGCGCGATATATTCAGCTTCGGCCGTCGACAATGCTATTAACGGTTGCTTCCTCGCACTCCAGGCAATGGGTGCGCCGTTGTGCATCACGACGTATCCCGACATCGAGTGCCGGTGTGGCTGGGACGCCCAATCTGCGTCAACGAAAGCTTCCAGGCCAGCGTCTGTTACGCCCAAAGTGAGTTCCATGTCGTCAGTCGCCTTCAAGTAACGCAGGGCCCATTTCGCAGCTTCCCAATGGGCTCTGCCGGGGTTCCTCATGAACTGCAACAACATCGCGACTGTGAAGGCGATGTCCGGGCGGGTACTGGTGGCCGCATACATCAAGGACCCAATGGCCCTTTGATAAGGTACGTCGCGCATGTCTTGTAGCTCGGCGTGGGTCGTGGGGGATTGGTCTACTGATAGGGTCGTTGTAGATTCCATTGGAGTCTGTACATTCTTGGCGTTGCCCAGCCGAAAACGTTCGATGATGGTCGTGATGTACGCTTTCTGGGACAGCGTGATGGTACATGCCCTTCTATCCCTCGTCACCTTCAGTCCCAACAGCCACTTTAGCTCTCCCAGATCACTTATCTTGAAGTGTCATTGGAGCTGGGACTTGAAGTGTTGGATGTGGGCGACATCGTTCGCCGTTACGGCCATGTCGTCCACGGACACTGTGATGACCATGTGCTCGTTGGAGGTACGTTTATAGTACACGGCCTGATCTACCTTGGACCGGCTGAATCCCAACGCTAGGAACATGCCCGATAGCTCTTCGGCCCACTCGAATCCTGCCTGTTTCAGGCTAGGCAAACTCCTCCTCAGCCTCAACACCTTGCCATGCTGGTCCTCCTTCAAGTAGCCGGGCGGGGCGCGCATGTATATTTCCTCCTGGATGCTGGCGTACAGGTAAGCACTTTTTATATCTACCTGGTGTATCTCCCAGTTTTGCTGAGCCGCCATTGCTAGGACCATGCAGATCGTTATCATGCTGGCTGTGGGGGCAAAAGTGTCGAAGTAGTTGACGCCGAGCTTCTGCCTCTGCCTGTTTGCCACGAGTCGGGCGTGCAACTTCAGCTTCTCGCCGTCTGGTCCGCGTTTAGTGGCCAGGACGTAATGGCACGGTATAATGTTGGCGCCTCGAGGTGGGTGCACTATCTCCCACATACCCAGCTTCTCCAACTGACTTATCTCATAGTCCACCGCCTCCTGCCATTCAATGGTGTCTGGACCATTTAGGGCCTGCTGTAGGGTGGGTTCTGGCTCTACTGTGGCCAAGGCAAGGTGAAGATAATTTTCTTCATCCATTAGGTCCACCTCTGACGCCTCCAACAGATTCTCCATCGTTAGGGCAGTCGTCTGGCCCTCGTTTAGGGTCACATAGTAGCCGGGGGGTGGTCTTGCCCTTGTGGACCTCATTGGAGGAGTAGATGGTTGAGGTTGTTGAGGAGTAGATGGTTGAGGGTGCTGAGGAGTAGATGGTTGAGGTTGCTGAGGAGTAGATGGTTGAGGTTGCTGTGGCATGGTGGTGGGCTGGACACTATTAGGTGAGTTATTATTACCGTTGCCGCTGTTATGTTCATTAACAGCAGTAGACTCCCCCTCGTCCAGCACACCATCGGCTGCCAGGATCGGCTTGAAGGTGACATTCCTTTCGACCGTGACTCGACGTTTCCCGGGCCAGTAAACCCGGTATCCCTTACTCTCAGCGTCTACCCCCACGAAGACTGCTTCTTCTGCCCTCGCCTCCAGCTTACCGGCCTCCAGCGCATGGACGAAGACCGTCGCCCCAAATTCATGGGCACGCGACAAGTCCGGCTTGGACTTGCGCACCATCTCATAGGGTGTGCTACCTGGGATGGCTCTTGAAGGCAGGCGGTTCTTGAGCCATGTGGCATAACTAACTGCCTCTGCCCACAGGTATTTCAGCATATCCTTGCCCAGGAGCATCGCTCTTGCGAGCTCTACCAGGGTGCGGTTGAGTCGTTCGGCGACACCATTCTGTTGGGGTGAGTCATGCACTGTTAGCTGCTGTTCGATGCCTTGCTGACGCAGGTATTGGTCGAACTCGGCGCTCAGATACTCCCCTCCTCTGTCCGAACGGACTTTACGCACACGGACACCCGGCGACTGATGCGCCACCCATGCCTCATATGACTTGAACGCGGTAAGTGCATCACTCTTTTGTTTGAGGAACTCCAGTCGAGTTTGTCGGCTGAAGTCATCCATAAAGCTGACATAGTACTTGCAGCCTCCCAAACTTGTCGTCTGGGCCGGTCCCCAGAGGTCCGTATGGACTAATTTGCCATAGGTGAGTGCACGCGTTTTCGTCTCCTTGGGAAAGGATTGTTGTGCTGACTTAGCCTTCACACAGGTATCGCAAAATTCTGCCGTCGTCTGCGGGTCGAATTTGACTCCCACCACCATACCCTTTCTGACGGCGTCCGCCAATGCGTTTTGGCCAACATGGCCCAGCCTCCGGTGAAGTTGCCCAAGGGTAGGTTTCTCTTTTGCTACGTTGGCGTGGTGACCTTGACGTGCTTTCCTCCCAACACTATACAGCCCTTCCACTTGCGGGATCTCCATGATGATGTCCCTTCGGGGTGCATGCGAGAGTATCTTGCACATTTTGCCTTCGAAAAGGACAGCCAGGCCCGCGGATGCGATACGATTGGTGGATATTAGTGTGAACGCCATGCCGGGGGCATATAGGGTATCCTTCAAGGTCACACTGGTTTTCTTCGACCCCAATGGTAAGTCAATTTTCACATCCCCGCGACCTGTAGTGCTGACAGTTGAACCGTTTGCAGTATACACCTTTTGCGGGGCTATCTCAACAAAGGTCTGGAATTTTGTCCTGTCCGGACAAAAATGGGACGTCGCGCCGGAGTCAACTATAGCTCCACGGCGCGCAGCAGGTAAGTCCATCGCTTCGGCAATGCTCGCAAGGCCTGACGTCGCAAATGCATAGTTGTCCTGGGCCTCGGAGTCTTTCGCCACGTTGGCAGTCTGCTTCTGGGTGCGTCCCCCTCTTCTTGCCTTTTGTTTCGGACCTTGACCCTCCTTCCCTCCCCCTTTCCTCCAGCACTCACTCTTGTAGTGGCCCTTACGGTCACAATTTTGGCAGAGAGCATCTGGGTTGTAATGGGGGGCAGCACCATCTGCGCTTTTGGACTTGGCGTCCGTGGCGCTGTCACAACCCCTTAAACGAATTAACGCAGGGCAGAGACTAGGACTCAAACAACAAGATAATCACAAAGAGGATAAGGCAGCAGGTACGTCTTGGATTGCTCACTTGGAGATACAAGAGGTTTGAACTAAAGAACTACTGACTACGACAAGCTACCTATATACACATATTGAAACTGAGATCGAAACTGAGTATGAACTAACTAACCAATCAGAATAATTAAAGGTATTGTACGATTCTATATATAACTATGATGTCATAACATGTGCCGCAGCCGCAGTAAGACTCTGGAACATTCCAAGAGTGTCGCGAGGCATGACATCAATATCTTCGGCATTGTCCGATAGATCACGTGACTCTGGTATTTCTACAATAGACGCAATAATAGGAACTTCTTCAATAGTAAACACATTCTTAGGAACAGGCGCTGTAACTGGGCGCTTAAAAGACTTAGAATTTAGGAACGAATAATGGTTTGTATTTGGAACTCGTGACAGGCGTGCACCGAAAGGGCCGAGTTGGCGCCTCGTTTGGTAGGGCGTCTGTCGGTGAGTATAGTGCCTCCGAAGTCCAGTCCCGAACCTAGGTTCGAACTCGAACCTTTGCAGACTGGACCATTGGTTCAGTCACAGGTCCGGTATTTCTGCTGGACCGAACCCCCTAATAGGTCCGAGGTCCGGTATTTTCCTGGAGCACGTGAACTGGTCCAGACGCGTCCGGACCGGTTTGAACCTGATGTATTTTTATCCAACTTAGATTCTCAAACCAGCAACGAAGCCTCATGTTTTTGGTAAGGTTTTCTGTTTAAGCATTGTGCTTGCCCATCGCTTTACTGTCTTCCCCCCCTTCTAGCCTACTTGCAGTAACTACATTGCCCTCATCCGTGTTCTTCTCTTGGTCTCTTCAGCAATGCGACTTATCAAGGTGCCAGTACGTTCACAACACGTTCACTGTTTGTCGTTGCTAACTTCTAATGCCATTTATTTCAGGACATACTGTCCGCACTTTTGATTCACCACACTGCTGTTCTGGCATTTGTTCACACTCCGGCGTTTTCTGGTGCGGAATGTTCGTGTATCAGGGCTTTATGGTGCGCAATCATTTTGAATTTAGTTACAATATACTTACTTGTTGTATAAGTTGGCCATTTTCACTCCCTGCTACCGCTACTGCTGCCACCATGTCCTCCGCACGTCGTGTTGATGGTTCGCTGAAAGATGCTAGCGAGATTGATTGGTACAATGATGCCGATGATGACACTCCGATGCTTCCTCCCCCTCCCCCTCCTGCGCACAATGGCACTCTCAGCTCTTTCATACGTCATTCGGGTCGTGCTGTCAAGCCTACAGAGAAGGTCCATGAGACTGCCAGCAGCAATTCTCCCGCATCGCGAAGGATTACCTTGCCATCCAGGGATCCGCAGTTGCGTCCGAGCGTGCATTTTCAAGCGGTGGCATTACTGGGACCGCACGTCGCAGCTGTTTGCAGCCAGCAACATTCGAGGCTCTCCAGTTGCTCAAGAGCGCATACCGTCAAGGCCACATTTCTGCAACATCCCAGGCTGAGTTTGCTGCTCCTTACGACAACGCAGTTATCGTCAAGAAAGAGTTTTAGTAGTTATTCATACTAGCAGGTTTTGTTCTCATTTTTTGTCAATTTTAATTTTTTTTGCAATTTAAACAATGGTTCGAGAGTTCGAACGTGTTCTGAACCTGAACTGAACCCTTCCGAATGCATTCGAAGGCATCTGGTCCAAGGTTTGGCCACCATGCCTGAACCTGACCAATGGTCAAGTTCAGGGTTCGCAGACATAGGGCCATGAACCTGACCGAACCAGACTTCAGAGGCACTAGGTGAGTAGGCGATGCTCATATTCTTCGCTGATGACATTGACAAGCTCGTAGGTACTTAGGGCTTTCTGCGTTATCTTGGCTGCTGCGTTGATGGACGAGAGGATGGGGCGGTAGGACTCTGGGAGGGACCCCAATATTATGGCGTAGAAGTCCTTCTCGTCGATTGATGCACCCATCCCTGCGAGCGACTCCTGGATGCACAGCATCTCGCTGAAATGTGCTCGAACGTCTCCGTTCTCGTCGCAACGCGTCTCCTGAAGTCTACGACGTAAGTCTATTTGCACGAGCTCTGTTTTACCCTCGTGTATCTGACACACTTCCTTCCAGACATCGGATGTGGCCTCGAGCTTTTGGACGCGCAGGAGTAGGCGATCTGTTATGGTACTGAAGACTTGCTGTTTCACCAGCGAGTTTCGCTGATAGTACTCATCCAGCTTCTTATCTAGGTCGTCAATCTCGGTCTGAGTGGGAACGGTCCCGTCTTTCTTCGTTACAGCCCTAGTCTTGGGATCGACTAGGAACGGTATAGGTCGTACTGCCCGGCCGTCCACATAATGCATCAAACCTCTTGCTCCGATGGCCGTTAAGGTACGTTCTTTGTATGTTATCCAATTTGTGCCGTCTTCGGCTAACTTGGGAACATTGAACAGGCTCAAACTCGTAGCGGGGAGCGTGGTGTCCATTGCCGGGTAGTGTTGTTCCGGCCCGGCTTGGCTCGAAAGCCGTGGCTTTGGCCTGGCCTTGCAAGGCTCTGGCCTGTAGAATATTCAGGCCAGGCCAAAGCCATGATTGACGGCTGGCTTCGGCCTGGCTTCGGCTCGAGCCATGGCCTGAGTACATGAAATGTGAAATATTGGTGCAAGAAATATACTACAAACATATGTACTAGGTTTCGATGTCAGTACTATTGGATTCCAAATCCGAGTCACCATCATCATCAAGCAATAGACCATCCCAGCCCTCATCTTCAGCCTTCTCCACGTCTTCACTCTTCTCGTCATTTTGGATGATCAGATGCCTGATATTGCAGAGAGCACAGAGACATACCATGTTCCTGGAAGTATATTCGAAACATTGATGAGTTTGAGACACCTAAGCGCACATGTTGGGAGCAAGATCGAAGCCGGGAGAACATTGTGCCGGATGCTGGAACCAATTTTGGCTTGAATACGCATTCTATTTTTTTGGTAAACATCTTACCAAAAAGTGTGCAAAGCCGTGGCCCAAGCCGGTGGCCCCTGGCTTTTCAGAACCATAGGCCAGGCCAAAGTCGTGGCCTGACCAAAGCTTTGGCCTGGCTGGGCCTGGCCTATATAGGCCTGGCTTCGGCTGGCCCACGGCCTGAGGCCAGGCCGTGCACATCACTATTGCCGGGGCAGGGCTCATAACCTGTGAAGATAATTTTCGAGCGGGAGCTTCAGGACACGCTAGACAGGTACAATCTCAGTATTCGGTTCACGAATCTCTCTATTGACAAGTGTTTTTACCTAGACAGGTACGCTACGTTAAACGTTCATCAGAGAACCTGTGAACAAATGAGAATGATATTTAAAGTAATATATTGTTAAGCATCGCAACAATCAGCGTAAATTTGCCAACCGCTTTCACATGGGAATGTTTGGCATTGTCGAGGAAAGACTAATTTGCAAGTACACGGGCCTGGTAGCCCTATTTGCCTCGAGGACTTTTTCACTGGCACGGGTCTAAGAGACAATATGCTCGCACAGGTTCATACATTGGAATATGAGCCTGGTTTGAGAAGGACAAGGAAGGAGGTTGCAGCGTGCAGAACTACGAGACACTCGGGCGATGCTCATCAGTGAAGAGAACGGTGTCATTTGGTCTTTGCACAATGTATTTTTTCTCGCTGCGGATGACTACCGAATGAGCGAGTAACTTGCTCTGGTAAAAAGTGTGAGTAACAGTAGACATTAATTCTCAACGAATAGTTTGTCTGTATTGACCGAATGTTCGACGAGTGTCGCGTTGAGTGGTATATTGCATAGAATAGCGACAATGTCCTGAGTTGTGTTCAAGTAGGTATCACTGCTCGATGGACGCCGAGTTGCAATGACATAGAAGGACCGGAGTCGCGCACGCAAAATGTTTGTTGGTAAACTGTTGCACAGAACCATGCATTATACGGAGCGCAAATACAGTTCCGAGGTATGTGAGAGTACACACGATTTCTCAATGCATAGATTTCCCAGTCTGACGCTGAAAAGCAATATTATTGTGCAATGGAAACTTACTGGAACACAATACTGCATCAGATCATCCCTTGGGACAAAATCAAAAGCGTACATTTTTGATGGAGTGCACAGACTTTGCGGTCGTGACCGCGTTTAGCGATCATTCGAACCTCGGTGTAACGCTGCAAGCATGCGCCGTGGCAGTGCTAAATTGTAATCTCACACAATTATTGTCATCTTTGCTATTTGAATGCTTCTAGCCTTTCTAGCCGAAGCATCTGAAAGATCTTGTAGACTACTCAAACACCTTGAGTTCATAGCGGTGGGTGATGCTTAACTCTGATGTCTCACTTGCCAATCAACGAGCTCCTTAGGTGTTTCGTCACTGCTCAATTGCTTTTGCGTTTGTCCTACTTTGCAGGACGCTTTTTGATGTTGGACTTCGCTCGAGACTTTATAGCGGTGAGTGATGCTTTACCCTGATGCCGCACTTGTCTCTCATAGATAATTTCTTCGGTTAAAATCCAGAGCATACAATTTTATCCGAGTTGAAACAGTTCACGATCGTAACAATATAATTGTAAATGATTCAATCATTACCATTTTCACAATCTAAACCCTTCTGACCTCCCTAGCCCAGAACTTCTGAAGATCCTGTAGACTACTCAGCTACCTCATGGGTGCCTCAAAGCACGCGAGCACCAATTCATACCTTGCTTCAAATCTTTATGTGAGCTTCTGTGAATATCCCATACCGCGACGGTTGTATTTACTTGTGACGCGTCCAAAATAGGTGGTAGCGTCGTGCGGACGCTGTGCCTTTGTGATGTAGTACCTTGGCTCAAGAGTTCATATCAGTGAGTCAAAGCTTCGTCTTGGTACCTACTCACCATTCAACGAGTGTTGTGTCCTGCTCGGAATTTTGGCACCAAAGTTTTTGTTTCACTGACAAATCTAATCCCCTGTATGGAAAATGATTAATGATAAGTTTGATGTGAAATGGCGAACGTATCATCGGTTTGTTTGATAATCCACTTGTCTGCAACATAAATGGAGGTTCTTAACTCACCAATATCGGACACTGTTGCGGGATCAGTCATCTCAACGTAGAAAATCATCAAACAAGTCTTAGGTGACGTGGTGAATAGTACCTGACATTTCTTTCGATAT